GCCCTACTGACACACATCCGGTTTCTTTCTCACCTGTTTACATTATCTTAAGACATAACCGACTGTGTTTACTAGAATACTTGCCAAAGCGGATATTTTAACATAACTTTGTGTGTATGTAAAAAAAGGAATCACGCTGTGTCTGAATCGTGCCTCTCTCTCTCTGCGTTTGCGCGCGGCAGCAGCTGAGCGCACAGTAAACTGGCAAGACAAAACATGTGCAAATGATAAACTTTCACTCTATGATGGTTAAACTTAACAGTTAATCCACGAATCACATGCGTGCCGAACCGTGGGGCCTGGTCCATACGGATCACGGATAATCTACGATCCGTTGCACCCCTATTATCTATTATTATAGATAATATTAAAATACTAATATTATTTTAGAGAGGTTATAATTATTTTAACCATTTAATGGGACTTTTTCTGTCATTATGCTATCAAATAAATAAAATTCATATAGCGGGACTCTTATTTTGACGGGTTTTCTAGTCTACGGAGCTCAGTGTTGCCAAGTCCGGGGTTTTCCCGCGGAACTGGGCTACTTTAACACTGTTGCCGCCGGTTTAAGCGACCCCAATAACGTGATATTTAGCCCATAAAATGCGAATTTTACCAGGGGAACTCTACCAAAAACGTGTATTTTACCATACATATTAATCCTTCTTTATTGTAACAGACTTTATTATTATTCATCTTCTAATTTGTTTTTGTATACATTTTAATGTTTTTTGTACGTTTAAATATGTATGAAATCTCCTCTACTAAGGCGGGACTCTTATTTTGACGGGTTTTCTAGTCTACGGAGCTCAGTGTTGCCAAGTCCGGGGTTTTCCCGCGGAACTGGGCTACTTTAACACTGTTGCCGCCGGTTTAAGCGACCCCAATAACGTGATATCACTGTTAGTTGTAATAAGTGTTTTGTGTAATTCGCTCTATGTTGACGATAATGCAACTGAGAGAGAGAGTTTAATGTGCACTTTTCATGCTGTGTTTTGTTTAGCTCTTATGGTGATTTTTTTTTGGAGTGAAAAAGGACGCAATAAACTTAATAAAACATCAGTAAAGCTTTGGTAATCATTCAGATGAGGTACGCTACACTATTTCGTTACAAAAGTTATTTAGTCAAGAATAGTGTGCGATCTTTAGTCTTTTGTTATTTGATTAGCATTAAAGTGCAGACAGCCCTAGTATTATGCAACATACATTATACAGCTCAGTGCCTTCACGCAGTTAATTAATAAACCATTAGTTAACAAAAGTTAAAACAAAATTTGTTAACTGAAATAAAATAAAACTAATTTAAAGCTTTAACTAAAATTAAAATAAAACCAGAAAATGTACAAATAAAATCTAATTTAAAATATTAATTAAAAACAAAATGAATAAGTAAACATTTACTTTCAACCAAAAATGAGAACAATTTAGCATCCATGAAAAACAAGCCGGACGAACATTTAAAAATAAATCATTTATTTAAAAAAGTGCAAATCCAACAAATGATACATTAGAATTTTCCCCTTGCGCGACTCCAGACAGAACAGAAAACCCAAACATTAATTAATCTAAAGTTTATCAGGCCGTACTATGAATGTTTTGGGGGGGAATCTAGCAGCAAAAACGAAAGAAATCAGAGTTAAGGGATGCGACATGTGACTAGAACGGGGCGGGGCCAAAAATTCACACCACATAAAGAAAAAGACGTCAGAAATGCATCAGATCTGCTCATTCAGAAGGGAACTCCTCTTCACAACTCATCTTTAGGGATCGTATCGTCCTCACCCTCCTCTTCCTCCTCAGAAGGTTCTTCTGTGTGCTCTTCCTGCTCTGGCTCATCCTCATCTTCTTCCTCTTCATCTTCCTCATTATCATCATCCTTCTTGCTCTTTTCCTCCTCTTCATGCTTCTTCCGTTCTTCCTCTTCCTGCTGGTCCTTCATTTTCTTTTCTGGTCCCTGATACATAACAACAACAACATTATGGTATCAGCATTTATAGTTAAATAATAACGATGTGGAAACAAATGTAAGAACTGATCACAGATATCTAATAAATGTAAATTATTAATACTAATATGTTGTCAACAGTGACACTCCAGACATTTTTACCTTTGTTGCGCCCCACGTTTCTGTACCAAATTTTTCAGCTTCCTCAACATCATCAGTGATCAGGAAGTTATCAAAGATCGTTCCAGATTTCACCTGTAAGAAAGGTCAACAGATCGCTAAACATAACGTAAAATCAAAAAAATTGTGCAATCCTGCATAAATCGGCATTTAACCACAAAATGATCATAAAAAACGCAGTACTACATAAAGTTGTTCATACTAAAAACAAAAACTTGATGCGGTATTCGCGCACCTCATTTCGGTCCTGCATAATTCGCCATTTAGCCGCAAAATTATCACAAAAACACAGTACTACATAAAGTAAAGTTACATGTTAGTGTTACATAAACATGCATGAATGAGGAAATAAAGTGGGGGACATTCTTAATGTTAAATTATTAAGTTGCGAAAAAGAAATCAATGCTGTACTTGCGTGCTCCTTTGTTGTTCTTATTTTTTTATAGCAAAAATAAAATAAAAATAACTATCTTGTGTGTCAGAATTTGGTAAAACACAAAAATAAGCAGGCTTTCTGCATTGTTTATTTTTTTCTGCAATGTACGACTACTGTACACTTAACATCATACCTAATATGGTAAATGTAGTATTCCACAAAGTTCTGGAAATTTCCACCACAAAAATCAAAAGTCATTTTGACTGCAAAGATTACACACACACACAAAAAAAATATCATGTAATCCTGGTGGACTGATTAATGTCACCAGAGATAACCAAACGAATTTTTTTTTAAAACCTACAATTTACCTACCTTTAATTATGATGTTGATTTAACGGTACGACAATCTAAACCATACCTGCCAAAGATCCAGTCCCAGAATGCCAACGTTGTCAAATTTGTAAATGGTGTCTTCTGAAGTGTATTCAGGGTTGTCGATTTCGGGGTGAATCCAGGTGCCTTTGTATTTGGGGTTGTCGATCTGTTTTGGTTTCCACTCGCCCTACATAAACAGAACTTTGTTAGCTGGTTGGTAAAACTGGTTTCAGCATAATGAACAATCATTTGGATTGAAAAGATCAGTTATGGTGCGTTATGGTGTATTCACACCAAATGACGCGAATAGAGGCGAATTCGCCTGATGCGTTCTCGCGCAAGCCAATCATCGAAGAGCTTATTGACACGTCCGGTTGTATCAGAAAATGGAGGAGCGCATTATTGGCAGCAACCCTAGCTAGCAGGTTATCAAATTGGGCACCCGTCATCCTGAAGTAGCGCTGGAAGCGGCTGTCATCCAGGCGCAGTTCCTGGAGAAGACGGTGAAATTCACCGAGTTGTGTGCGCCTCTGTATGGTGCTGTGAACCCGGACACGTCTACATTTGGATTTCTCTATTTATCATCACCATGGTTGATTACTCGCGGGACGTTTTTTGCCTCACTCGTGCGAGTGACGCGATGTGCATATTCGCTTCGCGTTTGGTGTGAACACACCATTAGTTTTGAAAATACAGTAGAAATGGTCCATGTGAAACAACCTTGAGTATTAATCTCTCTCAACAACTCCTAAAAAGTCCAAACCTATTTGTGAATGAAACCAGTCTGAATAAAAAAAAAAAAG